ATTGGGTGAAGGTCGGGGCGTTGTCGTTGACGTCGGAGACCAGCACTGTGATGTTGTGCTGGGTTTGGAGCCTGGGTGTGCCCAAGTCGGTGACGGTGATGGTGATGTTGTACTCGGCTCTACTTTCTCTGTCCAGGGCTTTTTCGGAAACCAAAGTGAAAAAGTTTTTGATGGTTGGTTTCAAGATAAAGGGGAGGTCATCTTGAATAGAGCACACCATTCTCCCATTGTCCCCAGCATCATGATCTCGAACACTAAAAAGGGCAACGAGGGTCTCCGAGGCGTTCTCTGGAATTGTGTTTGTAATTGACGACATGATCACTTCAGGTAGGTTGTCGTTTATGTCTAGCACTTTAATTAGAAGAGCGCATTTTTCTGAAAGACCCCCACCATCTGTTGCCTGAATATTTATAGAGTAGGATTGAGTGGTTTCAAAATCCAGCTGCGATCTCAGATTGACTTCCCCAGATAGTGGGTTGATTTCAAAGGTTTTACGAATATCTTCTGATGCATGAAAGAATGTGTAGGATAATTTCCCATAATTTCCTGTATCTAAATCCTTGGCAGATACGGTGATAATCCAGGAACCGATAGGTGTATCCTCTAAGACCTGCACCTCATAGAGATCCTGAGCAAACTCAGGGGAGTTGTCATTGATGTCCAAGACTTTGACGAGAACTAGTGTTGTACCAGACCTGGGCGGAGATCCACCATCCAGTGCTGTGAGTGTCAGTCTAAGCTCAGACTCCATCTCATGATCTAACACTTTTTGTAGAACTAACTCTGGGTATATCTTTCCATCACTGCCGTCTTGAATTTTAATATAGAAATGAGAAATGGGGCTAATTGTGTAGTTTTGAAGACTGTTGCTTCCTACATCCAGATCTTGAGCACTTTCCATTAAGAATGTTGTTCCAATAGTTGCACTTTCTGATATTTTAATAAGTATTTCTTTGTCCAGGAATGTAGGGGCGTGATCATTTATATCTCTGACATGCAGCTCAGCCTGAAAAAACTGCAAAGGTTTTTCCAATACCACTTGAAAATGCAGCACACAGGGCTCAGTGGAGCTGCACAGCTCTTCTCTGTCCAGTTTCTCATTTAAGAGTAAATATCCCGTCATCAAATCAAGGTACAAATGCTTTTCTCTATCATCACACACTACTTGGGCCTCCCGTGAGGACAGCTCCTCCAACCCCAGCTCCAGGTCCCTTGCCAAATTAGCCACAAAATAGCCAATTTCAATTTCTTCTGCTATGGAATAGCTCAAAGATTCAATACCCGCCTGCGACAATCCCAGCAAAACAAAGAAAACCAGCACTTGCCTTTTCTGCAGAGTTAGCACCCCTCTCATCCCCATGGTTTCTTCAGGAAAGCTTTTTTTGTGGAAAATTAAAGTTCAGCCCTAAGTATGGAAGATGAAACTCTGATTTTTTTAGTGGGAGAGCCCTGCGCAGAATGTAAACTTGCAGCAGCTCCTTTAATACCTCTTTTCTGGGTGGGTTTGATGTTCTCTGTTCCGATAATAGAGCCCACAGTGCTAGCTATGTACTGTTGTCATCTTATCCTGTAGCGCCACCATGTGTCTCTATGATTTTTTCATTAATTATTTTTCCTCTTTGAAAAAGAAATTCATAAAAACAGTCCCATGTATCATATTTTGCCCTTGCAATACCTAATTATCTGTAATAGGTAAGGCTTTTAAAAATATAACTATAATACCGCTATCATAATCAATAAATTTAGAAATATTTTTATATAATTTTTATCCTGTATTTGGTTTTCCCAAATTCTTTCCAAAATATTATTGGTTTGTTTAAAGCAGAATCCAAATAATGTCTGTACTCTGCACTGAATTACCACTGCTTCGAATGCTTGACACAAAAGAGTCCATTAAAGTATATTAAACTAAAGAAATGTTTTGTCCAGGTTATTTCATAAGAATTACAAATAAATATTTGTTGATTTCAGTCAATTACAGTTAGTAACATCATTTTCCAGGTAATATATACCATGAAAAGAATGCATAAAATTTATTAAATATATCAAGTATAGGAGTATTAGAATCCTCCTTTTTGTGTTAAAAATATACATGTAAGCACATGACACAAGATAGAGATAATATTTGTCTTTATGGAGATTACAGGCTAGAAAATTTGGCAGAGCAGTAACTCAAATGTGTCATAATGATGCTTAGATAAAGATTAATATAGAAATACCTAGAAGTGACATGTATCTGTGTACCTAGGAGGCTACATAAGATAGTGGTTGCAAATACAGTTTTGGGAACCAAAATGTCAACATTAGAATCCTGGGTATGCCATTTGCTCTCTAATTATTTGGCAAAATTATGTATCTCCGTTTCCCTGCCTATAGACTAGGATACTATGGTAATCTGATTATTATCATAGGAAATAGTAAGTTAATATTTACAATGTAGCTGGTAAATGCCACTTATATATCTGTTGACAAATAAGATAATTAGAATCTTTGGCCAGGAGTGTTGCTTAGTGGTAGAGCGAGTGCTTAACATGCTTGGCGTGACCCTGGGTTCAATAAAACAAAATTTAATCCATACATTGTCTCTGTATTGAATATATACAGACTGTTCTCACCTGTCACTATTCCCTACACAATACAGTGTAACAACTACTTAATTAGCACTTATATTGTAATAGATATTAAAAATAATCTAGAGCATACTTATGTGCAAATTGTTCTATTGATGTGCAAATTATGCTCTATTTCATAAAAGGTTATCTGTAAAAGGCTCTTTCTTTCTTTCTTTCTTTCTTTCTTTCTTTCTTTCTTTCTTTCCTTCCTTCTTTCTTTCTTTCTTTCTTTCTTTCTTCCTGGGACAGGGTCTCACTATGTAGTTCAGGCTGGCTTTGAACTCACTATGTAGTCAAGGCTAGACTTCAACTGTCAGCTATCCTCCTGCCTCAGCCTCCCAAGTGCTGGAATTACAGGTGTACACCACCACACTGATTCAGTACTCTATTTTTTTTATTATTATTATTATTTTGCTTTTTTTCAGGTACTGGGAATCGAACTCAGGACCTCGCGCTTGCCAGGCAGGCGCTGTGCTGCTGAGCTAAATCCCCAGCCCCAGTACTCTATTTTTAAAAAGAGGCTTTAGCATCTGTGAATTTTGATATCCACTTAGTCTTACAGGCAATTTTCTGTGGATACCAGGATGAACATATGGACTGCTCTAGGATAATCAAGCAAAAGTGTGTCAAGTAGGAATAGAAAAGTTTTATCTTAAAGAAGCATGTTCTTGGGGACTGGGAATTTAGCTCAGCAGCACAGCACCTGCCTGGCAAGTGCAAGGTCGTGAGTTCAATTCCCTGTACCAGAGAAAAAAACAAAAAGAAGCATGTTCTTTTAGACAGGAGAGGGAAAGAAGTATCTTTTAATAAAACACTGATGTCCAGAGTTCAAAATCATGCGAATAGCATTCCAAGAAGATGGGGAATAGCAACAGCAGCAAATGCTTCAGAAAAGTCAAGAAAAACTAGGTATTAAAATTGTCTATTAGATTTAAGACGCTGACAAAGGTGGGGAACTCTGATCAATGTCTGCTAAAATCTGTACTCCTTTTCTGCAATTAATAATAATAGTAATACAGTAAACACTTGTTTGATCAATTTTGCATGCCTATTTATGGTATGAAAAACTACTTTGAAGATAAAGATATGCAATATAACAACCATTGTAAATTTCCTATAATCTTATTTTGAAATTCCCTACATTTGTATTGTTTTAAAATTTTTATTCTCTTTAAAATAAAAAGGATTAGTACAATTATATTAAAAATAATAATAGTAACAATAATGATAAACTTTACCGTGACATAAGGCTGCTGATATACACTGCTTGTCCCAGCATCCTTTGTAGTTAGGTAAGCATTGTGAGCAGAAATTTTGCTTATCATTTTCAGGTCTGGACCAGAGGAAATACGGATGTGCCTATTCCTTCTAAGCCATATAGAACTGAAATGTGGTAATGACCTAGCTGTAGCCATATAGATTGTGACAATACCTTAGAGAATGTTGGAGCAATTACTTGGAATGAAGTTTGTTTCCAAGAGGACCATTTACGGAACAAAGTTACTTTATCTTAACCATTTGCATTGGAATTAACGCATGAAAGAGATGTAGTTGCATCTCTTTGTTTCAGCAACATAACATTTACTTAAACACACTAGCATTTCAGTAGAGTGCTTGAAATGGAAATTAGTTTGTCCTTGTTTGAAAAAGACCAGGGATGAGTGAGAAAAATGGGCATAGACAACACTTTTAAGAATTTATAAAAGAAGAAAAGGCTATAAAAAATGGGAATAGATTAGTATCAGAGAAGTTAGACTCAGCTTTTTTTCCACTACCAGAGTCTTTGCACTGAGCTACATCTCCAGCCCTTTTTACTTTTTTTTTATTTTTTATTTTGAGACAGGGTTTCTCTAAGTCACTAAATTGATCAGGTTGGGATTGAACTTGAGGTACCTCCCCTCTATCTTCCTGAGTGCTAAGATTACAGGCATAGGCCACCATGCCCGATCTTGGAGTTCTTTTTAAGAGTGGAAAAACTTAAAAATATTGACATATAGTATTCAGTAGAGAGGGAAAATTTAAGATACACAAGACATAGTCAATGTGAGGTCCCTAGAGGGTGGTTGGAGATGAGATACCACATGTGCGGGGATGAGATTTAGGTGGGAGGACTAGACACTGTCAAAGCTGTAGACTTGTGGAGAAGAAATGGAGGTAATGTTCATCTGATGCATTCTATTTTGTCTGTAAGGCAGTAAGCTAAAAGATGGGTACTTAAGTGGTAGGATGAGAATTTTAAAGTAAGACACATATGTTTTAAATAGTTGTGGAGACTGGAAGAGAAAGCTAATTAGAAAAATTACAAAAGGATTTCTTGGTCTCAAAAGTCCAATTATGTTTGGGTATGAAAAATTTATAGTGGCAGTAGTATTGATAATTTTGTAAGTTTTATGTTACAGAGGGTAGCAGTTCAGGTGAAAGAAAGGAGAGAATTACATATTTATCTGGAGTGCAGCTTCATCAGGTAGTTTTTGTGAAGGAAAATTGAATGACTGAATGGAGGAGATGAACGTGAAAATGAATGGGAGTGGCAAACCAGGGAATCAACTGGCTATAAAGGAAATTAAATCCAGTGGGGGGTTGACAGGTTGTATCAGTATCATGGGATGGGAATCCTGATAAAGTCAGTGACAAAGATGTGCACCCCCCCAAGCAAGATATTATAGGAGTATCAGGATTTGAGGTTGAAAGGACTCGAGAAGAATAATGTAATTGTAAAAGTGTAATTACATTCTTTTCTTTCAATACTGTTGACTAATTCCAAGCTAAACTGGTACTTGGTATTTTGTTTTGTTTTGTTTTGTTTTTTCCGGTACCAGGAATTGAACTCACGACCTTGCTCTTGCCAGGCAGGAGCTGTGCCGCTGAGTTAAATCCCTAGCCCCCATGGTACTTGTTTTTTATTGGTGAAAATTTTCAAGCAATTGTCAGGCTTGGTGGACAAGTTAGATTACACACCTGCAATCTTGGCCACTTGGGAGACTGAGGCAGAAGGACTGAAAATTCAATGCCAGCCTGGACAATTTAGGAATACCATGTCTTAAAAAAGGAAAGGACTAGGGATATAATTGAGTGCAAAGGCCATGGGTGCACTATCTAGTACTGCATTAATAAACTAATGAATGAATGAATAAATATGTAAGTAAAGTGAAATGAAAATAGCCGGGGATGTAGCTCAGTGGTAGAGCAACTACAGGTTCAATCCCCAGTACCAAAAAAAATCCATTCTAGGCAGCTTGGTTGTATCTTACATCTCCATTTTCTAAATAGCTTTCTCTCACCGGTTGTAAAGCCATTTTCTTAATTAATATGAACATATAGTCCTTTATTATAAAATTGGCTAATGCAGCTTGATTTTTATGCACTAACTTAAGGTTAGCTATAAATGAGATATTTGAAAAATAATAGAAAACCTGTTCTTAGCAATACATTTTGAGAGAATCAAGTGGTTACTTGTATCTGGACATATGAGTTCTTGAAAGTTTGGTCACTCTCCATTACAATTTTTCTGTAAATAGAGACATATTGTTGCTCATACATCTTGAAATACTTGAGACATTAGGTCAAATATCTAGTCCTTATCTCTCCTGTTGCACCTACTGGATTTTTCTACCTGGGTAGTTAGAATTGCTCTTTGTACCTCCACCATGATAGATAAGAGAAAACCCAGTTTACTTAAGACTGCATGCTGCTAGAACCATCCCATCTTTATTTGTGACAGCTTTATTAAGCTATCACTTATGTAACTTACATTCCATAGGATATAAGTTCATCCATTTAAAGTGCATAGTTTAGTGGGTTTTTTTTTTTGTGTGTGTGTGTGCATCTTGTAGTGTGCAGTTATCACCAGTCTCTAATCTGGAACATTTTCATCATCCCTAAAAGAAATCTTGAATGCAAATTAACATTTACTTTCCATGCACACATTTCCCCCAGTCTTAGGCAACCACTGATGTGCTTTTTGTCTCTATAGATTTGCCTAGTTTGACCATTACATATATACAGAATCATACTATATGTGATATTTTATGACTAGGTTCTCTTGTTTTGCATGTTTTTGAGATTCGTTTCTATTCTTTATTCCATTTTGTTGCTGAATAATAATCCCTTTATCATATTGTCCATTTATCAGTTGATGGACACAGGTTATTCCCAATTTTAGTTATTATGATAATATTTGTATGAATATCTTGTATAAATTGTTTTGTATACTCATATGCTCTTACTTCTTTTGGCTAGATACATAAGAAGTGACTTTCTGAGTATATGTTTAACATTTTGAAGAGTTGCCAAACTGTTTTCCAAGGTGTTATAACATTTTATGATCCCAGCAGCAATGCATGAGTTCTCCAATATTTTCATATCCTTATCAACCCTTGTTGTCTTCTCCTTTTGATTTTAGCTAGTCTAGTCCACATAAACTGGTCATTTTTACTTTTTATTTTTGTAGTGTATATATTTTTCTAGAATGCTGTGATGCTTTGTGTCTGTTTAAGCACATAATTCTTAATAGCTGCCTTGCCAAGTGCATGAGGACACAAAGTAAACATAGTACTTAGCTTTTGATTTACCAATATCTGCAAGTTTTTGTACTCTATGTAAAAAAGCTCTCATATAGGGACAAAAAATTGCTCCTATTTCTATTACTGAAATAAAATTTAGAATTTAATTAGTCTGCATGGCATAATTGACTTATTTTCTCCTCATTTTTCTTGGATGCAAAGATTCCAAGTTGGTCCACACAACTCAGTAGACTGATAGTGAAATCTTGGCTTTCAAGAGGTGTAAACATCGGGTTATCTTGGATACACTATAATTGCACTTTGAAGTATTACAAGTTGACTAATACAGAGGCCCTCTACAATGTTAAGATAAAGTTTTAAGCTATCTTCAAGAGGCAGTTATGGCATTGACTCTAGTTTGTGGAATCCAAAGCAATCATTTTAATCATTTTCACTTGTTTCCTCTTTCCCATGCCTACTCTCTGTCACATGTACACATACACCCCCAGACATTTTCTCTACGGTTATTTATTTGTTCATATGTATTTTCCTTGTAGACTTTAGACTTTTTGATGAAATTTCTTTGGGAAACTTCCTTTCACAAACACGGATGCTTTCCCTGCCTGTAATAGATTCAGGTCATTAGAAGCAAAAATGTTTGGTTGATTATCATGCAAGATAAGACAAAGCTTTCTCCTAGGATGGATTTTTTTTGAGACAGTGTCTCACTTTGTAGCTCAGGCTAGCCTCCAACTCATGGAGATCCTCCTGCCTCAGCCTCCCAAGTGCTGGGATTACAGGCGTGTACCACCATGCCTGGCTCCTAGATTGAGTTTTTTTTTTTTAAGTTAGACGCCAAAAGTGTATCTTTTGATATTTATTGTTCCACATATATCACACTTTTGTATCTCCAAGAAAAGTGTCTATTAAAGTTTGAATTGCTACCCATTAATAGATTATGAGGTCAACTGAGTGGATTGTGATCATATCTAAAACATTAAAACAGTGGAAAATATGTTGCATCACAAAAGTAAGCATTGCTTACAAAACATTTCTATTATGTTTGTGTGCTGCAAAATACCTATAACATAATTTTACTATCATGGCTTAAAAGTTTTAAAATTAGTGCTTAGCATATGTACATTAAATGCTAAAACACTGGCAAAAATATACACATTAAGACACAATCCTACTTTATACTGTATAGCTAATACTCTGGTGCTGGTGTTCAGCTTGGCCTCATTCTGGCTTTGTAACATTTGTAATATTACTAAAATAGCTGGAAAATTACAGCGTCATATTCCAAAATTCTGTGAGTGTCCTCGATATCAGTAACCTTCAGAATCTTACAACACAAGTAAGGAAGCCTTATTAAAAAACTGGTCTTCTCCTTCCTCCTTCTCCCTGTCTCTCTCCCTCTCCTTCTTTCACTCTTCTTATTTTTTCCTCTACCATAGACATCAAAACTGGGGCTCTTCCACTGTGTAATATGCAGAGCACTTCTTCTGGTTCTTTCTAACCAGGACTTGATCTTTGTAGTATTGTACCATATGCTTTCAAGTGTATTTTCAAGTCTGATAGCATTTTAAATGTTAATTAAAAATACAGTGGATTTAAAAAGTAACACAGTAGTTGAAAATAGCAATCATAATTAAGCCACAAGAACTACAAACAGCAAATGAAGAAATGCTTTAAGATTTAAGTTACTTTCAAAGATGTCTTTTATTTTACCATAAGCATAAACGCGGGTGCAACTTCAACTGCAGAGAGGGACAAGAGAAAGGTCATTTTTGTCTAACTCAGGAATTCCTAAAACAACAAAAACTCCTGGGTGAGAGCATAAATTGCCTAACTACAATTAAAGATAAAACATTCATACAACAGTAAAGCTAGGGAGACTTGAGCTTGGGTGGAGTTCAGTGGTGGAGCACTGGGCTGAAGTTTCATCGCCGGCAAAATTTTTAAACAGCAAAATTGGAGTTCCTTAAGTTATGAAAAACAAAATTCAATGGTCAAAAGGAAATACAAAAGGAAAATCAAAGCGATATGTGACAGCGAAAATTTTGTCCACCACGATCAAATTCTGTATCTCAGTAACTTAGGGATAAATGGCAGAAACATTGCATAGTAATCAGATCGCTACGAGAACCCAAAACTATTCCGGACAATAGCATTTCCTCCTGTTTCTTGCCCAGCACTCTGGGGCGGGAGGTTGGGGAAAACTGGCTTAAAGAATTTGAAATCATCTGTCCCAGTACCCCCAGAGAGACACACCTCATACTGGTAGCTGTGGGCCAGGGTCCCGGCGCCGCTGACGTCCAGCAGGCGGGCCGGGAAGGGGCCCTCGGGCGCCGGAGCGCC